GGGGACAGTTCTGCTGTCCTATAAAGCCGCTAAGCTGGAATCCCCATGATGGCAGTGTGTGAGTGGAATTACGTGGGGGAGAAATCCAATCATCAGCAGACACACCGTTAGGAGAGAGAGCTGGAGTGCTCAGGATGGGCCTGAATCTGAGAGTGGGGAGCTGGCCCGAGGACGCCCTGAGAGTGCCTGGCTGCTGTTCTTCCTTCCCGACCCTAACACCCCCCACCCCATCCTGCACGCTCACTGCCTGCCCGCGTCCACCTGCATCGGCCCAGCGCCCTACCGTAGCCTAGCTGCACACACTTCCACACTGTCAGGGACACCTGTACACCGAGCCACACACACACAGCCTGGCAACACCTGTTCCTAGCCAGACACAGCCTGGTGTGCTGCCGGTGCTGTGCCTGCCAGTATCTGACTGCCTTCACACAGGTGAAGCAGATGTCCCTGTTTCTTTACCTCCACCCCGTTCCACACAAAGATGTCTTCCTCGTCAGCCATTTCCATGTCACTCAGGGTCAGTTCGTCTCCTGGAAAGAGAAGGCCATGGGTGAGAACGTTCAGCACGGACCCCAAGATCAGAGACGACTTGCTACAAAACCCGGAGCTGAGGGTTCAGCAGAAAGCTCAAGTCAGAGAAACGAGGCTCAAATGCCTGCAAAACATCTTGCCCCAAATCTGTGTCACATTTAACAATAATAACAAAAGTAGGCCAAGGGGCAGCTTGTGGTCTGGAAAACCTACACCACCCTCAGGTGAGGAAATGTCACACGTGATGCAAAGTAGGTATGCTCTAAACTGGGTCCCTGATGCACTTTTTGTAAGCGGCGATGTGATCCTCTCCACACGTGATTTGGAGGTGGGGAGGTTGGTCAGGAGCGCACCCTGCACGGGAGCACACAGCTTCCCTCACCATCGAGCGCCCGGTAAACGTGAAGGCCTGCTGGGAGGAGCTTGGCGATGCTGAGAACCATATCTCCTTCCCAAAATCCGAAGAGCTTAGGGGAGAGAGAGAGAGAGAGAAGGGAGCAATGAGAAGTGACGTACATGTGCCACATTTCCCAGTGAAAGACACTGTCACATGTAGACAACATAAGGAACGAGCAATACACCCCCCCC